GAAGTGAATGAGTTGGAAGATGTATTTGAAAGGTTGTCGGCATGTGGAGTAACGTTTGATCTAAGGTGGTTAACGGTTGTAGGAGGTGTGAAGCACGGCGTACCCGGTTGTGATGTGGTACAGATGCGGTACCGGACGCCTTCAGGTGAGTCTGGTAAAACGAATGCAGTAAGCATAAAATGTTGAAGACCTACAAAATCAATTGTTCTGGGGATTTATTTACCGCTACACTAGAATAACTTTGTCTGAACCTGATAACGTTATAATGGTGTACAGTAAATTTGAGCTAGTCACTGCAATGTTTATACGATTTCCTTACAGACTTTAATAACTCAGTTCGTCACAGTTGGATGTGTCACCAGCAATATGCGAGTTAACAAGTATGGGCAGTGCGTTAGCTGTCGAGTAAGTGACGTTCTCGATTTCAGTTAGCGCTCATGTTTCAATAGACTACATGCTATCTGCAAAAGATGTCGTTAGTTATATCAGAAATGAGTGCAAACATTATGCAGCTCATATCTAAGTCTGATGGGCATGAACATCCTCAAAAATCCGATATCGCGCTGTCATGTTTGCCGTTCCTTTTATCGTCCAAATAGGAACTCAGAACATTGTATACATGTCTTCAGAAAGAAGACATGAGGGACAAATTTGTGAGTCCGCTCAATTGATTTGATCATTAAGTCGCATTGTATGCGGCTATGGTGCAAAGAGCACCTCGGAAGTGCAGGTTTTATGGCAGGATGCGAAGTATAAAGTGTTTTTCCCAATCGTAGAAATTGTTAAACTCTATGACATCGCAACGCCAAGATATTTCACGACATGAGAGACAAGATACTTAAGCGTTATAGAAGACAACCAGAAAATGTATGTACCAGTTTAAAGTCGTAATCAGAGCTTGTAAGAGAATAGAGGGTGAGAAAATAAAACAAGAATATCTGGGAAGATGCCATGAGTGGGATTCCCAACAACATGTTCGTGATACAGGATTTTACCATGCTCAGTCCAGCTATTAATTGTTTACTCACATGCCTCTTGAGTTACCCTCAAGTCAAAAATAAAGGAAAAAACAACTATGAAGAAAAAAATCAGCGTTAATTCGACCTGATGAATTCCTCCTCTGTTTATGTAAAAAAATCAAGTAATAAAGGGAAATGCATAATTGGAATCGATGTATATTCGACACCACAAAGGTATTTGGTTTCCATAACGGATTAGCAATCTGGAAAGGAATAGACACTGTATACATCTTGGACACGAAACTGCATTGAACAGAAATTTACTTCTTTAACGAGGGAAAATGTATGTAAATGTGTTTCCTGCAGAAGAAATGAAGATATTTGACTTATCAGAAACTGTTACATTGAATACTAATACTTTCATTTTGTTTTTGGATGTTTTTGTTCTACTCAACACCTGGACTTGTTTGTTTATATTTCCGTCTTCGGTTTGGTATTTGGGAGCTTTTGTTCAGGGAACCTAAAAAATTGAAGGTCTACTTCGTAATTGTTATACTTATTATTAAAACGATATTTGGGACGATTGTTTGTAAGCTGCAAATATACCCTGGTGGCTGAATCGAAGTTTGGTTCTATTGTTATTTTGAGTTCGTAAGTTACAAGTAGATCAACATACCGTGCCTCAATAACGGAAGAGGGCCAAAACTTGGAAATAACAGTATGAAACTGCCAGATGTTGGATTGATCACCAAACTCGATCAAGTATATGACCCTGACCCGTAACCGTAAGCACAGATAGTATTTGCTGACCCAGGGAAATAGGTCGAATGATTAAGAAAAAAAACAAATGCCCAAGCTCTGAATTTTGAGGGAAAACCCCAACTTTTTCCCCCAAAGTTTGTGAAAACTTTGGGTTTTTTCTCCAAAGTGTCCCCAAATTTGAGAGCTCGGGTTCGTCTTTATTTTTAATCAGTTAAATCTTTTTTGGATTCATCCACTTTGGATCTCAGTTGGTCGTCTAGGATTGACTTCATCTTAGTGATATAACCAGCTGTATTCATCAGGACGATACCTAGACCTTTATCCGGCCGTAAAATTATCACCCCAAACCTAGAACCGTTTCGTCGGAGATTAGCAACATATGAATTAAGAGATTCGTTCCAGTTTGCTGATAGGCTAAATCGTACGAATGTTGCCGATGAGTTCACGGTTTCTTTTCATGTAGCACCCTTGTTAGGTTAAGGTTAGAGTGCTAACATGTGATCGGTTTACATCGGACTTTAAAGAAGAGGTGTTTATTCACAGGTTACAACCCTAACCTAAACCATGACCCTTACCATTACCCTAAACCCTAACCTCTAAAATCCGTTGTAAACTGATCGCATGTTAGCACCCTAATCCTAGCCTCTCACCCTAACCCTATAGACGAGTTTCTATACCATATGCATTATGAATTCAGAACCTCTATCAAACCTTAACAAGTTTTTTAAATCATGTAAAAGAAGAATATCCACTGTAATTCATTAGTTACTTACAATATATTTTCACTATACCAACTGTCTTCTGATTGTCTAATAATTGTCAAGGTCATTTAGGATTCGTTTAAAGGTCGTCGCTAAATTAGAGTCTCGCCAACTATTCATATATTTTGTCAAGATTATGATCTACCTTTACCAGCCCAAGAATTAAAAAAACTACTACTGATGTGCACAACAGATGTTGAATTCCAGTTTAATAACACTAGGTCAAATTGTGGCAGATTTATTAATAAGGTACCTTATTACGTATCTTGAAAACGCGGTGCTTAAACAGGTGATTAGCGAAACGTCATAATACTCCAGATATGTTGATGGCACGTTTATTGTCTGTAACAATAAACAGCATGCAATCCGCCTGCTAAAACTTCATAATGTTCATCCTAACATCCGATTTACTATGGAACACGAACAGAATGCGACATGTTCCACTTTCTTAACGTTGCCATAAAATGTAGAGGGGATGGGACATTTCAACGTTCTGTTAATCTAAAAAGTACTTGGAATGGCCTTTACCTGAACTTCAATAGCTTTTGTCTAATCAGCTACAAGAAGGCATTGGTTAAAATACTGTTTTATAGGGTAAAAAGGACACGTACCAAAGACAAACTGGAAGAACTGATGAACGTGCAAAAATGTCTAAGAGACAACTGTCACACGCAAAATTTATTGACCAATATATAAACCTAAAGATAACAAGACGGGAATAACTATGGCCTATAAAAAACCAATGTCTATAAATCTTAACTTCAAAGGTGATGATGTCGGTAACATAATCGGCAGGAGACTGAACACTACGCCAGCCAGAACTTATATGGCAGCCAATCTTTTACTTCAGTATAAATCATGTCCAATAACTTAGTCAAAGGTTAACAAACACCCCTTTAATTTTACCGCCAACTGTATCTATAAATTTATGTGTACCTGCCAAGGCAGCTACATTAGCCGAACAGGAAGGAGGGCATGTCTTAGATCAGGTTGACACCCCGCAATCCTTGATGGTGATTAGCGAGCAGCCAAACGCTTTTTGTGCCGTTGCTATTAGGCGTCAAAAACCTGACTCATGTATTCAAAAAGAGATGGTTATTAATCTTTGCTTGCTTTGGTAACAAATATTCCTTCGCTGCACCTTAAAATTATTTTTAAACTCTCGTGCATTTATTATACCTGAGTTTTGTTTCAATTATCTTCGGACTAGCAACCTTATTTTGTCAACTAAGCTTTACTCATTTTATTCCTGTCAGCGCTTAGTCACTATGTAACCACTTGTTTTTGACCGTTTGAACTGTTGTCGAATATTCTTTTACACCATCCATTCTATTTACACCCTTGCTATATTATACTAATGTATCTTCAATATAACTTTCAACTAGACCCTTTCGTGTAAGCAATTTAAACCCATTATGTAATTGATTCTAAATAAGTTTGTAAACAGCTGACGAGAACCAACGAAATAAAGTGAATCCATGGTGTTTTGTTAGAATTTTTGTTCTTGCTCTTCATCCAGTTCATTTGTAACAAATTCCTACGGGAATTTTAGGAACTATTACAACACGTCGAATCACGCAAGTACTTCGGAATAACAACGGCATGAACCATCTTGGAATGTTTCTTGCGGGACGATAAAAATCGGGATTTCCGTGAATATTCTTTTGGGACATCCCGTACTATTTGGGATGTCCATAATTCCCTAAAAAGCAGATGGTTTTTCTTTGCATTTATTCATCTCAACTGACCCTTACCGTTTATTTTTGACTTACAAATCTAGTAAAATTCATGTGCTTGGTCCTTGTTTGCAATTTTTGTATTAGGGGCAGTTATAATACACAAATGCTCGAAACCAAACTTTTCAGAGCGAAATCCGATCTTTCAACCTAGTGGTTAAGTTGAATGCCGTAGACTTTGGGCAACCACTTTACACAGAAACGAAGAACTGTCTTACACTGTACGTGTTAGTAAACGTCCCTTAAGTGATAAGTTGATCAGTTATCTTATTAGATCAACCTCCTAGTTAGACTGCTAACCTCTTTTCCTTCCGTGATATATCAGAAAGCATCGATCCAAGTGCTTTTAATTATTTTCCATCTGTAATAAAAGCCTAGTTAATTATCGTATGGCAAAAGTACAACGGTATGTTTATTATTTAGATGTGTTCGGCATTCGTACAAATCTGATAGTCAATCTCAGAAGCTCTCTTTCTGTGACACCTGTTTCCTAACACAGGAAGTACAATTGTATCCCCATATCAATGCATGAACAAAGCCAAGTTCAAAGTGAGAAAAAATTAGCGATAAAATAGTGGAAGTACGAGAAAGTTAACGATACAGCTTTACAAAATGTGTTGATAGAGAAACCCTAGATTACGTTCTTAATTGTAATGTGTTCACATTTATAAGATCAGAGTGGAAACAAAGGAGAAAATGAAGTATTGTGTCACCCTGTCTGATACACGGTATTTTTTAAACACTTGGAAATAATGTGGAACATGAGAATACAGAAATGGAGTTTAAGGATTAGTAGAAAATACACTAGTTTGATCAGTTGCAGTTAGTCGCTGCTCAACTTCACGGTTTTTACTAGCCGTATCTACTGGTCGAGCCTCACCAAAAATCTTTGAGTTGCGTCCAGATAGTTCATTTAAATCTCGTGGTGCAGAGCGAGGTAGTAAATTAAGCTTCGGTCGCTCTCCTGTTACAGCTGCTTTAAGGTTAGGCTCCAAAGACAGTTGACCTTGGTTTAGTGGTGTCAACCCAGGTGATCCAAAGGTGCTTGTACGACTGACGAAACCTCTCTTCCAAATCGATTCGACATCTTCACCATCATCTCTAAATGTATAAACAAAGATACTCAAAATTAGTGAAGCATGCTCAAAATAGGGGGCGCTTCTTGTTTAGATATATAAGTGGTAATCAATATGATGAGAATGAAGGGGTTAAATTGACTAAGGAGGAATTGTGGTGAGAAAATATAAAACAAATAGCTATGAAAGTGCCATTATCTTTTGTCATACAAATTTATTATATATCAGTTGAGATGTGAATATGGAGCATAGTTTTCTCTGCCCTTTAATGACGCGTTAGAATTTCCAACCAACCTGTACTTTTTTCACGTTACTGAGGTGAGAATCATTATTTCGGTTTAGTTAGGTGGTTATGACCCAGCACAGTGTGCACCAGTTCAAGTTACCATAAAGTTGCTTCCCGATGCTGGTCATGTCTTCCAAACAAATCAATATTTATCGAAACAATTGTTTTGAGCTTACAACTACTTTAGCTTGGATTGTTTTTAACACTTTAAAACGTACTCACGGTCTCACCTCAAAGTCAACCACTGATTGTATTGTCAGTTACTACTGTCCCTAATTTTCATGTGGAAACTTTTTGGTAATTAAATGTTACCAGATTGTCCGAAATGTAGGATAAGTGCCACATTTTTCAGGTCAGCTGTCTTCTCATTACAATTATAGACGTTATAAAAAGAGACTATTTCACATCGACTAGTGTGTTCAAGAAAAGATGTGACTTCACTTTATTTGCCTCGACGTATACCTACCTTAGGTCACATAAACATCTCGTAGGATTTTGTTTCAAGGTTTTATGTTGATTGTCCCCAGTCACAGGAAGTTAATGTGATTTCACTTAATTCATCGATCATATCATGGTTTTTATCAACAAAATTTTCTGAGTAGTAGGTAGTAAACGTTATGAAAAGTAACTAGTCAGAACGACAAAATAATTAATTACATATAAACTAAGTGTTTTATTGACCATATTACCACATACCGAAGAGCGACAGGTCTGTAGCCACCTCGCTGGCGCTCAAAAGCCATTTCACTACGACGCATCCCAGAGCAATAATTCTTCTCACGTACGAACCCACCTCGCTCAGACTATGACAAAAAGGAAACATTATACAACATCGAGTCAATGTTTGACAGTGAAACAACAGCCTTATTTTCGAATGTATAGAAACTAGTTAATAACGGGAATACATTGATTAGCATTCTGTTAGTCTGTGTAGAACCACCTGGAGATACTGGTTCACCTGATGCCACCGAAAAGCATTAGTAGGAGACTTAAGGTAGTGAATAAAATGCGCGCAAGGTACTCATCTGTTAAGGTGAATATTTAATTTAATAAGGTGTACAAGAAAGTTAAGTCAGTCGCAACGTAGAACCCGGTACGCATATACAGTCGACCCCATTTGCCATACCTCACTAGTGCAGGAAAATAAACTAGTGAAATAAAAACAAACGAACAGTTACAAAAAAGCCTAGAACGTGCACCATCGCAATTGATTTTGAGCCATGCTATTCATGTCTCTGAAGAGAACCGGTGAGACTTAAGTGAAGTGGTCGATGCGCTCAACAAACTTACTCACTATGATTTATTCAGACACCGCGGCAAAGTAATCTCGGGGCGACATTTTGCATCTGGATGGGGACAGCCGCATCCCAAAGATGTCTGGATTGTTGCTTAGTATGGTCAAAAGACTAGTTTGTTAGCGTCTTCATCAAACGGAACTACATCATCTGGTAGGAGTTCTATCCCTGAAAAGCCAGACGATGGAAGTGTTATTTCCAAAGGCATGTCTATGACAAAATGGGTAAATCGGGCAACCCTGACAAACACCACTTGCAGTAACCGATTCCGACGAAAGTTCTCCACAAACTCCGACTCAATCAATACTGTTCGAGTAGGGCTTCAAAAGGGTTAATGTACTTTCTTGGTACGGCTTTTAATGACAGAGACTGCCACAAGACCTCACGATCAACGGGGTCGGACGTCGACTCAAGGTCAAAGGACACGCCTGTAGTCGGACATCGGAAGATATATCCGTGTTTCATGACCAGACGGACTTTGAGTATTTAGTCTACACATCCGGGTCTGAAACCACCCATGTTTTCTCAGATTTGCTCTTCATGAGCTCTAGTTAGACATGGAAGTGCTGTTGGGGATTATGTTTCAGACTCTATACTAGTCAAACTAATTCCTCTGTGATTGTCACAAGAGGATTTCTGTCCTTTCTTGTGGACTTAGACTCAGAGATCGAGACCAGTCAGGTGGGATTGTTTCGAATTCCCGAGTTTAGCTGAGATTCCAGTTAGTCTAACCACTAAGATTGGACCACCGTCCTTAAAAATTTCAAAGGCTAGTCCATCAGGCTTTGTTTCTCTCCTTCGCTTTAAATTACTCACAGCCTTTTCAACCTCACTAAGAGTTGGAGGACTTACGTCAATCTGCCAGTAAGGTTGTTAGGAGATAGTGGGTAACTGAAATGCGGCTGAAGGCCAATTAAACTGTCCATCGATTGAACCTCCTAGATTGATATTGAGTAATAATACCACCATTTTTCGAGATGGTTGCGCTATCAACCGGACTTATAGTACCGTTTGCTCGATAAGTATCAGCAGTTATCTGGTGTCACCTATCGCTGCTTTTTTCGCCTCTTGACTTCGCTACCCACCCTGCTCATGATTACTACCTGGCCTTTATCAGCCTACATTTCAGCTCCATTCGCTCCTCATCGTGTCCAGTCTGACTAGAAGAGCCTGTTCTGATTTTGAGCTCAAAGCTATACCTACACCAGCAAGACCATGGGAAGTGGCAGTGGAACCTTCAAATGCACGAAAGGTAAATCTCGCCAGTTCTTTATATTGACAAGGCACGTATTTTTATCCTGTATGCATGTTTCGGAGACGCAGCATACATCTATAGCACGAGTCCTAGCTAAAGAAGCCTGTTGTTCTATCCTGCACAAGGTTTGAACATTTAAAGCTCTAACGTATGGTTTAGAGAGTGGTTTTAGGAGACCGGAAATAATCATCAGCAGTCCTTTTTAAATGACCAATAACTTTAAAAGCGAGAAAATTTGAAATTGTAATAGTGTAGAAATTTTTTAGACGTGAATTCACTTGGTAACACTGTGTAATCCTCAACAACTTATTCAACAAAGTGACCTGGTATGGTTGGGATTATCAAAGCTGAACAGCAGTTAGAACGATTAACTCGGTGATAGCAGTACTCTGTATGACGAGAATCACGTTTATGGATGGCTAAAATTTGATTACTACACAACGTAGAACTTTGCAGAGGTACATCGGTTTTCGTTACTACGAAGAACAGTAAGAACGAACGTGATGAAAAATGAATAAGTAATACTATCGACGGCGTAATTACAATAGGTGCAGAATATGGGAAAGAATAATAAAGGTTGAGCTACATAAGAGACCATACAAACTTAGGGCTTAGATTAAGTTTGCGAGGAAATATACATTAATTACTAGCTAACCTATGGGATTAACGGTTTAAATTTGTCAAAGAAGTAAACTCCACAGCTACATTCTACTAATTACATGTGACTATATAAGTACTTCAATCTCAATCTCAAAATTCAATGGAGATACACTAAGGATTTTTCGGCTTTACTACTAGTTCGTCATAAAACTGACTTTTAAATAAGCGAAAAGGTAGTACTTGAGCAAGAGCACCGTTAAATTGTCTTACCTGAAGTTACCTTAAAGTTAACAGTTGCTTAGATAAAATCGAAGTTGCCTGCAAGGGCAAGATATAGCAATGAGTGCACAATGCCTAGTCTTTCTTAACGATCGATTTTCCGTGATTCTTAAAAGGAAACTCGGGGAATTATTACTAAAATTCACCTTACGGAAACTAGGGGATGACGTTATTGTCTGTATGTACAATTAAAACGAATTGTGCGACAAACTACAAAGAACATTAACAAAACCCCCTTGAAGTTGAAAAAAATTGAAACAAAGTCTTGGGAACATTAAAGCAAGAGATTTGAAAAGCTCAGTAGATCAAGGTAACCTGAACTTACCGTATAGTGAACATGTTTGCAAGACGTTAGCACAAAATATTTCAGGATTCTTTACTTACAGCTAAACTTTAATTGAGTTAATGATTCGCACATAATAGTAAACCCTCAATGTAAGATAACAGTCGAACAGTATCATGTACTTATGATGCCGACAAAAACGCCAAGTCAGTTTTCAGTTGTAGTGTCTACTGAAAAGCGTTATTTTATAGAAGCTCTATGAAGATCTAGACTACAACAGAATTAGTGCGACCAACTTGTGAATATATTTTACAAATCTCAATGATCTACGTGTAAATAAGAACTTTATGTTACTACTTATAAAGTTAGAAATGGTAAGTAGCCTTGTGACATCCAAGTTTACAGACCTAGTCGTCCGAACTAATTTATCAAGTAACTTGAAAATTATTGGAACTCGTAAATGTAGATAAAACCAATACCGTGTGTGAAGAAACGGTTATCAGAACTGAAAAATACAGGGACATGGCAAATCCCAGTGTGACAGGGCTTACATTATTTGGAGCAGCAATGCGGACATTGACTTGTCGACCAGCCAGAGATGAATCAGAGCGTTCAAGAGCTTTCGCTAAGTCATCTCGACTTGCAAAGTCAACAAAACAGAAACCACGAGACCCACCATCCCCACCGACAATATTAATGTTTGTAACCTTGAGCGGGGAGAAAAAACTGGGAAGTTAGTACGAAGTGAGATAAAAATAGTTACTCAGCGACGTTTTGTTCTGTAGCCGAATACGATACATTGTAAACAAATGCTCTAAAAGGCTTTTCCATAGGTAGCTTCGCCAGTTCGCTTTCAACTGAAGATGTTGATGTGAATGTTGGCAATTTTGCTCTGATTTTCTGAAGTTCTTCAGCCTTTTCAGACGATAAATTGAGCTCTGCTAAGTTGTCTGTTGGGTCCATTTCAGCTATCTAAGTGGTATTATAGAGCAAACGTTCACATACTGTGTTGCTTGAATACACAATGTCGACATCTACGCTCTGATTGAAACGATTTTTCTTCGATTTCTTGCCCATCTTTGCAAACCAAGGGGTCACATGTACCGCTCAAAGTGATCCGGAAAACCCGCGTCAGGATACAGAGTTCTCCTTCAATTTACATTTCACTAAGGTATCCAATGTAGTTTTGCTACTTGTTATGACAGTTTAATTAAACTTTACAAAACTCAATTGTCACCTGTGGAGATAGTGAGTGGAAGCAGTTTCAAAAAGGGCAGTGATTTTTGTACTTGTTGTGATTATACTTGCTTTTGGTACTTATTGCACTAAAAAGCATTCTTGGTCTACTTTAACTAAGAGTTCTTTGGTTAAAGTTTGAAATTTTTTACTAAATTTTGTCCTGAGTACCTGTTTTTAGTCCTTGACTAACACTTGTGTTCACATTGTTATCATTTTTTATTTTTAAACCTTTTAAATCGAATTACAATGGTTGGTAAGACTCACAAATGTGGGCAACCAAATTGTTTGTTCTCCGTTGAGGAGGGAATGCAGTGTGACGACTGTAAAAAGTGGTATCACAAAATGTGTACACGACTAAGTCCGACGGCTTACAAAAGATGCTCGAAGCCTAACTCGCATTGGCTTTGTATGTTCTGCTGTACGGATAAAAAGGTACTAATACAGGAGGCTATGGGCCTATTGGCTTTGGCCTGCAAGAAAAATGATGGCGGAAGCACTGATAACAGGAGCACTGACGATGAAGAATGTGTCAGTGTAGTAAGTGCTGCTACTGGACCCATTAAACACCTGACTGCGGTTGACGGGAACGTGAAATCTCCGTTGACATTAACGAGAAATGAAGTGTCGCTTGATAATGACATCGGCAGTCATACACCTCTAGTCGAAATAGAAGATCCGGATAAAACTGTCACCGTTCCACATAGTCCAGGTGTGGCTGTTCTGAGTGGTGACAAATGGACTTCGGTAAGAAGAAAAAAATAAGAAGAAAAAGGCTGTAGGCAAAACGCAGCTGGTCAGCAAAACATTGGAAGGGATGTTATCAGAAGAAAAATCCTCACCGCGTGAAAAGACAGATCTCTCTGATAGATCAGTCATTTTTCATAAGATAAGAGAATCTTCAGATACTGAACCAAAGGCAAGATTTGAACATGATCTCAATCATATTAAGACATCATTAAGTAAACTACTCCCAGATACAGTTTCAGGAGTTAGTATTTGTAAGCTTTATAGAATAGGAAAAAAGGTGGATTCCGAAAGTCCTCAGAAAAACCGCCTCCTAAAGGTTACATTCAACACGGTGGAAGAAAGGAACCTGATTCTAAGTAATTCACGTAAACTGATTGGATCCGGAATATATGTCCGTGAGGACCTCAGCCTAGCTGATCGTATTAAGAGAAGAGCTGCAGAAGCGGAAATAAACGAGCGTCGCCGAAACGGTGAAAGAAACCTCGTTCTTAAGGGTTTTCAGATTGTAAAAGTTCGGAGCAAAACGATCCCCAAGCCACTCTGGGTGGCAAGGGAAAGCTCTCCACAGACTTAAAAGTGTGCTACACAAATGCTCGCAGCCTACTAAATAAAATGGCGGAGCTGAAGTCAGTGGTGGACAAAGAAAAACCGGACGTTATCGCTGTCTCGGAAACTTGGTTAACGTCAGAAGTATTAGATAGTGAAATCCAATTGACTGGTTTCATAACCAGTAGGGCTGATAGATTAAACCGAAGGGGAGGCGGGGTTATTTGTACACCAAAAGTACCCTAACCATAAGATTAGCTGAGACAGTAGCACATGTTTCAGGGACATGTGAACTGGTGAGATGTAAGTTGAAATGCCGAAGGCAAGATATTGAAGTAGTTGTAGTTTATCGCAGTCCAGAATGTGTAGCAGATGATTTTCTCCTTAGTAAACTTAAGTCCTGGTGTAACAACGGTAAAAGCCTTGTAGTAGGCGACTTTAATGCACCATATATAAACTGGGTTAACTTAGAAGTAGGGTCATCCATATCGTCGTTCGACTCCAAACTGTTAGAAACCTCGATTGGACTAGCATTATTCCAACACATTAGAGATCCCACAAGATACGACTTAAGAAACTCTTCTCTTTTAGATTTAGTCTTCACACACGGTGATGACGTTGGTCAAACGGCTTTTCTCCCACCACTTGGGAGAAGTGACCATGCAGTCATCTTATTCAAATTCATGGCTGAGATTGCTTGTCAAACAATTGCGCCGGCCCGTCCTAACATATGGAAGGCAGATATGCAGGCAATTAACTCCGCAGCATCGGCTGAGAACTGGGAAATTGACTCAAAGGCATCAGTACAAGAGGCATGGACTCTATTCAGGCAGTTATACAATCGGGTAACTCAACCATACATACCCTGGACTGTCCCAAAGAAAAAGAAGCACGGACATCCCTGGATAGGGCGGGATATTCGACGCTTACTAAGACAAAAGAAGAAATGCTGGGATGTTGCCATCCGCCTTGGCACAGCGGGTACGATGGAACGTTACAGATCGATAAGAAACGAGTGTATAACTAAAATTCGGGAAGCGCAAAGAAAATATGAAATGCAGCTGGCAGAATCTGCACTCAAGCAGCCCAAGAGGATATTCTCGTACATAAACTACAGAACAAGGATTCATCATTGGATTCCCAACCTAATTAAAGTAGGAAGTGAATCTGAAATGATAGAGGAAGATCAGGAAAAAGCTGAGGTTATGGCTGACTACTTTGGGGCAGTTTTCACTCAGGAACCTCCTCTAGAGAAAGAACCAGACCCAATTACAGAGTCAACAAACCAGCTGCTCACCGTGGACTTCGACCAAAACGATGTGCTTAAGGCTCTTAGCACCCTAAACATGGAGAAGTCAACAGGACCAGATGAACTACACCCTAAAATCTTGAGACATATTGCCCAATATATCGCAGCCCCACTGACTGTGATATTCAAAATGTCACTTGACCAAGGTGTGTTACCTATGGACTGGAAGGACGCAATCGTCACTCCCATACATAAAACAGGTCTACGACAAGTTCCATCAAATTACAGACCCGTAAGCCTCACCAGTGTTGTAATTAAAATACTGGAAAGAATAATCAAACGGACCATAACAGCATTTATGGAAACCAATAACTTGCTGAACATGGCACAACATGGTTTTAGAAAGGGTCTATCCTGTACAACGAACCTCCTTATAGCTAGGGAGCTCTGGATTAATGCGCTAGACAACGGAAACTCAGTGGATGTTGTCTACATAGACTTCAGTAAGGCTTTTGACAAGGTGCCAACTAATAGGCTGCTATTGAAGTTGACAAACCTTGGTATTGCCGGACCTCTTTTAAAATGGATTAAGGATTTCCTAGTAGGTCGTAGGCAAAAAGTAAGAATAAATTCCAAGTGCTCCATCTGGAGACCAGTACTTAGTGGAGTACCCCAAGGTTCCGTCTTAGGTCCTTTACTTTTTATAATGTACGTTAATGATCTTACAAGTATAGTACAGTCTCCAATGTTATTATACGCTGACGATGTAAAAATTTGGCGAGTAATAACTGGAGACAAATACTTTTTTTGCATTTACTCTCCTTTAAATAATATGATAAACTGGTCTAAAGAGTGGCTAATGCCTATCAACTCGGAAAAGTGTGTCTACATGCACTTGGGGGATTCAAAGGTTAATACGTACAACATAGGGGATGTGTCATTACCCGTAGTCCGGTCTCATAAGGACCTAGGGGTGACAGTGAGCAATGATCTTAAGACGACGGCCCATTGCCGGGAGGTCGCAGTTAAGGGGTTTCGAACCCTCTGGGCTTTAAAAAGGACATTCACTAAGCTTGATACTACCATGTTCACCACATTATACACATCCTTAGTGAGAACTAAGTTAGAGAACTGTGTTCAGGCTGCAAGCCCCTGTTTAAAGGTGACTCAGACATAATAGAAAAGGTACAGAGGGCAGCTACGCGTGCAATTCCGGAACTCCGGGTTTATCATATAAAGAGCGGCTTGAAAAACTGAACCTCTTTACTCTGTCCTATCGCAGACTAAGGGGAGATCTAATATTGATGTACAGAATACTGAGAAATGATTTCGGACCTAACTTATTCTCTCTCTTTCTTCCCACTAGATCGGGACACCTCAGAGGACATAGCAGGCGAGTAGAAAAGCCAAGAACGAACAAAATACCCGTGGCATACAGGTTTTCACACCGAGTCATCAATACTTGGAACCTGCTGCCTGAAGCAGTGGTGTCCGCACCTTCAATTGACTCTTTCAAGAGAAGACTGGACACTCACAGAAGCATACTAGAAAAGGAATAACATAGGCCGTAGGCCTTCTCTCCTTACTACACAAATCTGAAATCTACCGGCCATATGAAATGTGTGAAGTGTCACTTCATTCTAGAAGGACATGAATGCTCTGAAGCGCGTCCGAAGATGTACTACGAAATCAGTTGAGGAATGTTCACCTCAGACACAGTACTGTTCGCTTCAAATACCATCTCGTTATTCACTTAGCTACTGAGTCCTGATAGCCAAACCTTGAGGACGAATGCTCAGAAATTTAAAGTAAAGCATAGCGAACGGGACTACAGACGTATCTTCTATTCTTTAGAAATAATCAATTCTTAAAATTCTCTACAGGCTGAAGTGTTTCTAACAGGTCCTCACATTCGTAATGCCTGAAAGTATTATCTCACCATCGTTTTGCAGATACACTTTTCTGTTTGCTTCATATCCAATGTCCTTACGCAGTGGCATTTGTGATCAACTGCTGTATACGATGACCGAAAGCTACATCCATTACATCTACACAGAGAAGGTTGTTGCTAGAATTACTCCAGATAAAGCACTCCTAGGCACCATACAGCAACCTCCATGCGATGTTAGTGTTCGGGAACAACTCACTCTACCAAGACGCAGCCAATATACAATTCACCCGTCAGTTTCTTCAACAGAGTCAATTTTCCCATAGATTTCAGAAGTCATACGATAGATACCATCGCCATTAAGTCCTAAACACAACGTATTCGGGAGATGAACACTTCTCAATGTAT